TTCTGCCACCTGCATGATTTCAACCAAGGACCTTCGGTCTTATGTCTAAACGCTCAACCTAAGGACCACTGGGCTTCCAGATTTCTAATGGTGCTCTAACATTAATTAGATTTATGTAATTTTTTTTTAATTTCATAATCTGATCAGTTATTCTATCTTTTAATATTTTTTTCATTGTGACATCAAATTAATCCCTTTGATTTTTCTATAAACAATTATCACTTAGCTATATGGTTCCGATTAATTTATGAGTCCGGTCTCAACCAATAAAACGTCACATCCATTTTAGCTAATCAATAAACGCAATCATATAAATATTTGAAACAATTAGTCCCTTTTATAAATTCTGATAGAACAGTGAGTGAGAAGACGTGATTGATCTGAAAAATGTGGTTTATTTGCGCGCTATTTACATTTCGAACAATCTGGTCACACACATGTATACACTTGTCAAGGCATTTTATATGAAGATGAATAAAAGGTCAATTAAATAAAAGTTCAAATAGTAGACATAAGGTGATAATTGTAAATAAAGGAGAGAGAAAATTAACGTAATATAAAAAGAATAAGAAAGGGTAGGAAAATTGTCACATTACCCTAGGCTTAAAGATTACCAGGGTAAATTCAAGGTTATGACAAATTGTTGCTGCACCCATAAGGGGGAGGTTTTAATTTACGAATAGTCAACGCTTCCATAAACCTCGAAATTCATCCTTCAATATTTCTATACAATATTTTGAAGACTGTCTTGATGTCAATCTTATGTCCTGTCTCAACCTTGTGTTTTGCGATCGATGAACATGGTTTTCTATTTCCAACGCTAATCGGCTCATCTGACGTTAACTGATTTTGAAGCCACTTAGGTACATGTTCCATAACCCTTGATTGCAAAGTCCGATTACCCATCCCTATGTATGTGTGTCCACACAAACATGTAAATTGATAAACGCAGTGGGATGTGATGTAATCATTCGAGCAACGTTTAGGTATATGTGAAATCATGGACTTAGTCTTTTCAATTTAGCAGCATTGTATGTTTTCTCTATGCCTGCTTTTAGTGTCTGTCTTAAATTCAAGCCATTTGTTTCACCTCTAAATGGTAAAGTGATATAAACCTTTTTCTTCTCAACAGAATCAAAAACTTGCTTTTGTCTTAACTGATTTCTACACCTACTGATGAACTTTAGCGGATAACCGTTTGAAATCAATGCTTCAGTTAAGAATTTTGCATCGTCTTTAAATGTATCCATGGTGTAAATCCTTTGAGCCCTATTGAAGAGGCATTTTACCAAACCTCGTTTATATTGCAGTGGCCAAAAGCTACTAAAATTTAGATACTGTCCAGTCCACATTGGCTTTCTATTAACAGAACGCTTTATAGTTCCATTCTGTCTTCGGCTCAACAGTATGTCTAAAAAAGGCAATCGATCATTATCTTCTGGTTCATAAGTTAATACAATGTCATTCTGAAGGCTATTAAAGTTTTCCAGTAACTGAAAGACGTTGAGTTCTTTATTACATATAATTAAAATATCGTCCATATATCTCCTATAGAGAGTAAGCTTATTTCTCTATTTCAATTATGTTAACATCTTTGATGTAACTTTACGTCCCATTGAGAGTAATCAATTCCATTAAGGTTGAATATAAACTTTATTTTTAAAGTATTAACTATGACAAAACTTGATAATTAACATCAACCTATAAACAATATTAGATCATAAATCAATCGCTCAAAATATCTAGATCAATCAGAGTTAGACATTAACACTATTGAATGCTGACCCAGTGGTCCAGAGGTTAGACGTTCGCTAGATAGGATCGGAGGTCCCGAGTTCGAATCCTGTGAGGTGTAGGAGTCGTGGATGCGTACAGCTGATGAGTCCTATACCAGAGTGAAACGGCCTTTCAGTGCTTGCACGTTTCTAATGGTTTTCTAACAATAATTGATTGATGATTTCAATGTGTAAATCAATAATAATCAAAAGAAATGTATAACCAGCTTACTAGTTGCAAACAAGACCAAAGAGCGTTTCCTGTATTCCACTACAGGCCACTATTCAACTTTCTTTATAATACCAGTGATCTAATGACAATATCGAGGCAATCTACAGTGAATGAACATGTGCTCAAAGTACAAAGATCCAAACAACTAAAATATGTATTTTTTTTTTGTGAAAAAAACTACAATATAGAGCTGAAAGTTTCCAATGAGACCAGAGGTTCACTCTGATAAACATTGAGGATGGCTTGGCATTGATTTGTCAAGTATTGCTAATAGTCCATCTTCATATTTAGTTAGCAGGGTGACTGATTTCATTGATACTGGTGGTTGTTTTGTAACATTCCTGAGGGCCATTGTCATTGTCATGCTGTATTGCTTGCAGATCACCTTTGCAAATAATCATGAATTCGACAGTCATGTAAGCGGAAAGAGTTAAATTGGCTTGTTCATACAGTGTATATTGGTTGATCCCGATCGTAGCTGCTACCTTGACGTGGTGGTCGGGCTTGCCTATCGTGATGACCCAACCGAGCTATAATGGCTCGAACATACGTTCCTGCAGGTCCTACCATGCCAGGCAGGTCGATTGGAGAACGATGAGACTAAAAGCAGCTACTTAAGGTCTGAGGGCGAAGTCGTACTGCTGACTGACTGTGGAAGGGTGTGACATCATTAAGGTGTTTCCCTCGGACAACCAGCATCTGCAGCGATGCTGCCTTCTCACAAGGAAGGAAGGGTTAGAAAAGGTCGGCCCTAAAAATGTCACACCTCCCCTACCTCACGGATTTCCGTCTCCTTGGGTAAGGGTGCCAACTAAGAGCTAATCCTCAAAATACTTTTCATAAAAAGGCCGTGCGTGACCGGCCTCAAGCAGTTGTCCCTTGGGCTCTGCGGTCACGCTCCCAGGTCTCCAAGACCAACACTAATATATCTTCCATTTCAGGACCCTCAAGAAACACCGTTCCACGGTGTGGGCAGCCGGGAAGTGACAACTGCCCTCATACCCGTAACATATTGGTTGATGCAATCATGGATTGAAAAGAATCACTATGTATGTACTAGTGTCTATATAAGTTGTGTGAATGGTCAGCCAGAGTGTCAGGTGCTTCTGTAGTGATTGCACCACAGGATTGAGCTGAACAATACACGTTAAAATGTTAACAGACGTGGACAGTTTCCTGGTAAAATTACCTTTGCCAATGAAGGACTAATTTGTACAATTGTAATTGTAAATACACATAGCAATCAAATGTATTGTATTTTAAATTTACAATCCATAAATATTTTCATGTAGACTGACAAAAATTTTTAAATAACAGAAAGCAAAAAACTACTTTCACTTGAATCGACTACTCATAATCACATTAGGAAAACCATATCGTAAATCGTTAATTTGCAAAATATCAATCCATCATATGGAACTGGACTGTTCCTGTCACAAACATCCACCCATTGTCTGACATTTCACTGTTCATGCGTTTCATATAAATTCCACTGTGTTCCAGCTCTTCCTTTATTGATCTTCCCCCATCTTCTGCTGTCAGACATTAGGTTTTTACTCGCGTCATATACTACTTATAAGTAGCGCGCACCACAATAGTAGTGAAACAGCAGAAATAGAATATAGTGAAATAAATCAAGCTAACAACGCACACACGCAAACACGCAGATCATGATATAGATGTTGGTTTATCTTGTTTTGTGATTTAACTATTTTTTAAAATACTCTTTTTTATTTAATCATTTTATTAATTAAACTTTTCTATTTTTGGTGGAAAAAATTTTTGTCTGTTTACATCATATGAATGAAATTATATAATTATTTTGTCCTGATTATTATTATTATTATTATTATTATTATTATTATTATTATTATTATTATTATTATAGGTATTTCATTATGTAGTAAAAAGGATGTAACTGTTAAAAGATACAGAGTGATCAGTGCATGAATGAGTATGTGATGAAAGTTAGGAAAAATGACTAAAGATCGATTGTGTAACGAGTGAGTTAATTTTAAATCATTTTATTTTTATTAGAATCATGAATTAATCCATTTCGGACGACCATTAGAAATCTAGAAGGAATGGATGGCCGTTTCGTCATACTATCTTACTCATCAGCAGTACCAATTCAGTGTGTGTCATGCTAGTTACTTATCGATCGAACACAATGGATGAGGTTGTGCAATATACTGGATGGATAGAAGTTAGAGAATAACATCATCAGATACCACCACCTCAGTGGTCAAGTGTTTAAGCGTTTCAGCACAAGATGGAAGGTTCTGGATTTAGCTCACGTGTTGTTGTTTTCAATCAAATATTCTATTCTGATGATTCCACCAAATTTAGACTACAACGCAGAACACGGACCTGTGGACGAAATGTGATAAATTAAAAATGTTTATCATCCATACACAATGAATGCCGTTGAAAAGTTAGATATAGGTGTACAAATCAATGCAGATTTAATCAAGTAACACAAAGGCCACTCTTATCAAAATTCCGTGATACTTTTTATGCTGGTATGGAGTTTTAAGCCTAAACCAATTATTATTTGAATGATTTCAGTGGACCAATGGTGATGAGTCATTATTCAACATCCCACCATTATTGATTATTTTAGGATCATGAAGGTCATTGATGGTGTCTGTCATACAGAATCATGACATGATTTTAGAAAAAAAACTGAATTAGATTACGATGATTAAAAACAAACAGGACAATGGAAAGTTAATTGTTCATACATCTCTATATTAAAATTTGCTTATCAAATAATGTGTGTGCATGAGGTTTGTGCGGTATGTTCTATGTCGCACACAAAAATCAGTGAATCTGTGCATTGATGTGTTCAACTGTATATGGCCAAACAGCATAACACTGTTTAAAAACAATAACTGAGTTTATTTGATAATTCAATGAATATTTTGTAAAACAAAAGCAAATAACAGTATAAAATTTTAGTATATAAATATTGTAAAATATGAAAATTGTTTACAATATTTTATGAAAAATGAAGCGGACAACCTGTTACTTATTACTATTCTGCAGCATAATTTTATTATGTTCTACTCTGGATCAAACGAATGCCAGACGATACAAACCTATGCATAAACCTCTTTCAGAGGAACTAATTCATTATGTCAATAATGAGGTAAATGAAATGTTATTATATTCTGAATTATATATAAATTATGAATGAACTAACTATGTGTTTAATAATGAATCATTTCAAAAAGAATTCTTCAAGTTCTTTTTTTCTAATGACATATTAAAAATAAACAATGAAGATGGATACGATGCAGATGTAAAAAGGCGTGGATCGGCAAAGCAAGGACAGCATTTCTACAAGTGAACAACCTCTGCAACTCAAAAAAATCTGTCCACCAACACCAAAATCAGAATTGTCAATACAAATGTCAAGATAGTTCTACTATATGGAGCAGAAACTTGGAGAACCATGACAGCCATCATCTAGAAGATGCAAGTAGTCATTGACAGTTTTCTAAGCAAAATACTTCGGATTCTTTGGCCACACACCATCAGCAAAAATCTACTGTGCGTAAGAACAAACCAGATTGCAGTGGAGGTGGAAATCAGGAAGAAGCGTTTGAAGTGGATAAGGCACACATTGCGGAAAGCACCTAATTGCGCCTGCCACAAGACAAGCCGACACATGAAACCCCAAGTTCAATGGCCAGTAAACACACTACTCTGAGACATAGAGACAGACGAGAAAAGAATGAACAAAAATCGGACATAACTTGAAAGAGAAGCCGACGACATAGTAGGTTGGAAAATACTCGTCAGCGACCTATGCTCGATTGGAAGTAAGAGGTGTAAGTGAGTAGAAATAGACATACTGATTCATCAGAAAGTAGATACCTAGAACTTTATACTTCTAGTTGCTTTTCTCTTCCCAACAATAGTATGTAACCATTACTTATTTCCTAATCAATGATGCTTTGTTGTCTAAATTATCATAAGATTATTATTTGAACCAAGTAGTTCGGTATGCTGTTGCTAAATAAGTCAAGAAGAAACGAAGATCTTATCTGTTAGACACTAATATTACCATTTTTGTTTTGCTGTATATACTTTGGAAATTGGAATTTAGAAAAGTAATTAGAGTTTTCAGTAACACTGACAGTAAGTTATAATAGAGATCAATTTTAAGGGTTTTCAATATAGTACGCGGAAATCAGGCCAAGTGATCATGTCTTAATTACATTGGCTGACTAGTTACTCACAGATCATGTATTCTACGATTTGATGAGAGGGACTCTGTGTCAATGACTTAGTTTAATAATATATATATATATATTTATTATTATATATTTAATAATCTATCTCAACATTTGACTGTTTTCTTTTTATCATAAAATATTAAGGCTAATACAACTTGGAAAGCTGCTAAAACTGCAAGATTCAAAACAGTATCTGATATTCGTAGGGTATTAGGTGCACTTCCAGATCCAAATGGTGGACAACTGGAAACTTTATGTACTGGTTATACATCAACTGAATTACCTTACAGTTTTGACGCGAGGGAAAAATGGCCGTATTGTCCTTCTATCTCTGAAATTCGTGATCAATCATCTTGTGGTTCTTGTTGGGTAAGTAATGAGAGTTCATAGAGAAAATAAATATTTTGATATTTTGCAACGCTTATTATATCATAGATTGGCATATTTATGTTTTAATGTGTTACTCATTTGATTAAAATTAGTTTCAATTAGACATGCTAAACAGTTGAATCAGTTCCAAATTCCAAAATGAAATGATATATTGAATATTTTCCACCAAAACAATTGACTATATCTGATAGTCACTAATGTTGTATCGGATCATAATTGAAATATTTAGATTGTAGAAATGTGTAAAAATGAGTAAATGATCTGCACAATATATGATGCAGAAATAAACAACAGTTGCGCAATCAGTAGGTTAAAAATATAAGTCGACATTTATGACAGGAAACTGAAAATCTCAGGATATGAAATACTCATGAAGATAATGTTTTATGACTGACCTAAGCGACATTCAAAGTAAGAATCTGTAAATATGTTTAGCAGATTTATTAAGTATTTGCTGATTGAACAGCGGAGCTGATCGAAAACAAGATCTCATGTGTACACAACACACGTATCTAGTGAATTATGATCGATGTAACATCTGTGTAACTTATGATGGGGTAGCTAACCCCATGCGAAACCTTCCTGATTTATCCGGGTTTGGGACTAGCAGTAGCCCTAGAGAGGTTCCAGCCTGAGTTAATTAGTCTACAAATGAGAATAATGACAGAAATTGAAATACAAATCAAATCTACATTTCTCTCATCTTTACAGTATTCTTGTGTGAAAATATTTAATTAGGAAATAGTTTTACAATTTAATTTTTAATGTGTTCTTCATAGAATATACAAATAACTACATTGTGATTAAAACACATTGTTTTTTCAAAAATTTACTATGTTTATCGTTTAGACGCAAAAAATGAAATTCATTCTCATTTTTAAGAAAAGAAAGTCTTTCTTGCTGTGCTTTGTAATTAACTATTAATTGTCTGATTGGTTTGAAAAAGATAATTTAAGAGATATTATTATTTTACATAGGTTGTTTAGTTCACGTTTATTTGACAAACACAACGTTAGAACAGTGATAGAATATAGATCATGAGATTTGTATTATTTTGAGAATGATTGAGCCATTCAGATACATCTAACATGTTTAATTTACTGTTTGTTTAAGAATATAATTTTACGATCATAGAGTTAATAATGTACCTGAATATCTCCTCTGTGTTGAATGAAGTTGTTGAGTGTTATACTTTGTGTAGATTTCTCATCACTATTGTTAAATGAATAACCATAGACCAAATAATAATTATCAATCAAGAAGTTTGCAAGAAAAATTATTCCAAGTGTGTTTCTATCAATACTAACTAGATATTATGTTACTTCTTACGACTACTTTGATTCATAAATCGTAAGTTTGTTCACAGACACACATAATGTCAGTTGAAGAACCATTTTCACGTCGAAACTGTATCGAAGTCGACGTTTAGTTAGTTCCACATTTTAGACTACTAGTAAAAGTAAGGGCTTGCATGGCAATGAAATTGAAGAATGATATACCTAATTAATTGTAAGTATTTATCAAAATTTTAGGATATGGCTCTTTTGTAATCCATGTCAACCTGGTTAAATGTGACCTTCTTTAGGTCGTAAACTTTGTTTACTAAAATAAATTACTCCCACAAAAAATTTAAAGATATATAGTTCACCACAGACTGATGTCATTTAGAGATAACAAGCAGATAATTGATCCCAGTTTAAGAAGCCCTAGTCAAGCCAGATTAGCACAGCAAACGGAGTAGAAAACACATCACCTTCATTTCACTTACTTACACAGACTTACTTAATTATCCTGTTATTGGCAATGGAGCATAGGCTGCCGACCATCATTCTCCAACCAACTTCGTCCTGGACATCCCTTTCCAGTAAGAATTTGACTGTCCTCTCAGCCACACTATAATGTCAAAGAAGCTTCCACAGTGTTATCATGTCCATTGTGTTGAATTCTTTCTCTCTCAGTCAATGAAGGTGATATAAAGTGGTGAATTCTATTTAACTGATTGTTCAACACTGATCCGTAGTGTCATGATTTGGACGATACATAATTGATCCTTACGGAATCAAGCCTGTTAATCACGAAGTTCGGGTCTATGGAATCTTTCATTCTTTTTAACAACACTGTATTGGAGAATTTTGCTGGTATTGCAAGAGCAGTGATATCCTTGTAGTTCTAATGCTTGTTGAGATCTCCTTTCTTCGGTATCTTGATCTGGTGTCCTTCTTTCTAGTCTTCATAGTGTTCTACTCACCTGCTTCGTTGTTCTTCAATATTACTGATCTTACAGGTGAAAAAGTCTATCGCGTCCATTCAAACGAAAAAGCTATCATGCAAGAGTTGATGCTAAACGGACCTCTTGAAGTAGATTTTGAAGTGTATGCTGATTTCCCAAATTATAAATCAGGTGTTTATCAACACGTTAGTGGTGCTTTACTTGGTGGACATGCAGTACGTCTACTTGGTTGGGGTACAGAGAATGGTGTACCGTATTGGTTAATCGCTAATTCATGGAATGGCGATTGGGGTGATAACGGATATTTTAAAATAATTCGTGGAAGAAATGAATGTGGTATTGAAAGTGATGTATATGGTGGAATACCAATAATCACGAACTAACCATCCTGGTTAAATAATTCGTTATCTATGTGTGAATGTTTGGTAGTGAATTGATTTCTATTATTGATCATTGTCATAATTACAATATTCACATGAACACTGAAGACTGGTATTTGAAACTGTAAAATTTCTTTATTATTTTATTTAAAATTGCAGTAACTATTTTGAATAATAATGAATTGTTCTGTGTAATTTAAGATTTGAAATCATATTTTTAAGCTTACTTTTTAATTAATCAAATAATTTTATTTTATACGTTTAATTTTATCAATGTAACTAAAATAACAATGATATATACGCATATATGTATTACTACGAGATTTTTAACTGCAGCAACTTTAATATTTGCTTTTTGAGCTGAAGTTACCGCGGCTGCTGGCACCAGACTCACCCTCCAATTGGTCCGCATTAAATGATTTAAATTGTACTCATTCGAATTACGGAGCCTCAATCGAGTCGCGTATCCGTATGTTTAGTCACTACCTACCGTGCCGGGATAGGGTAATTTTCGCGCGTGCTGCCGTCCTCAGATGTGGTAGCCATTTCTCGGGCTGCCTCTCCGGAATCAAACCCTGATTCCACGTTACCCGTTATCATCATGGTAAGCAAATCACCTACCAACAAATTGATAGGGCAGACATTTGAAATATCCGTCGTCGACACAAGGCCGACTGCGATTAGAAAAGTTATCCAGAGTCATCACAGAATGTAACAGGCACAGCACAATCCGCTCCTGGTTGGTTCTGTCCTAATAAATACATGGGTAAAAAAAAATTAAACATTTAGAATATTGTAAATGTAAATGGGTTAGTGAAAAAGATATGCTTTCGTGGTTGACAGATAAACTAAGATTGGTCATTTTAAAGCTAGCTCAGATCTGAGTTGTAAGTGTTACGATAAATATCATCTATAGGTCTATTTAAGAAGCACAGTTAAAATTCCCGTCGAAGTGATCACTATGTATGTTGTTCAGAGCTTTTGATGTCAAACAGTTGGTCACTTCGAGGCTTCACATATTTCAAATAATGTCTTCAATATCCATCCTTAATTTCAATGAAATGACGCACACATCAAAGCTACAGATTCTTAGGTGCAGAGACACTGTTGACGAGAAATAGATCTATTTGAGACAGGTTCTCCTGTGTGCTCAACTATTTAGATGTGGTCTTATGAGTGGATAGATATTCTAGTGGCCATCTGTGATCATTAGTAAATACGTTCACTAGATAAATATTTTATACTGTGTTTAAATCTTATACAATATGAAATGTTTAATTGTTCGATAAACGTATTTACTAATCACCAAACCCACCACATGTTGGATGTCTGTGTAGGTGTCTAAAATGAAGTCTTGGTTGTTGTTTGATTCTACGAGATGCTAATTATTAATTATTACGATTTTTACTTTCTTCATCTATCGAAAATTGAGAATTATCTAAAGTGTCGTTATTAAGAAAGGAATCACTCCAGGGTTATGATGTTCTCCATTGCGATATTGGAGTAAGAAATTATAAACGAAATTCTCTAGTGTTCTATATTACTTGGATTTACTGACGCGACGGAACTCCGAAGTTCCAGCGAAATTTTCTACTTAACCATTAGACTGAGGATGTCATGGAGCTGTACACAGATGACGGCATCAAATATCATTATGCCAGCTGTTGAATTCCATTTCTGTTAAATCAGCTCCGTTATCAGTTATGAATGCATTGAATATCCCTTCACGACTAAAAGTCTTCCTAATTTCTGTTTGAGTAGAGTTTGTGCTAGGAATGTTTGTAAGTATCACTTCTGGCCATTTACAATACGAATCAATGATAAGTGAAGAATAGTATGAATTTGGAAAGGGTGCACAGTAATCAGCGTGGATACGTTGTTATGCCTCATACGATTGTGGCCAAGGATTCTAAGTAGGTTTATTGTATGATAATATATGCAAACGAGCAGTTTAGTTTTTTGATGTCTCTTTGATGTCATTGGTGCCTTCATGATGAAGTGATATGTCATTTCAGGCAACCTATGCTTACACTGAACATTCTAAGCTATTTTCCTTGCACTTACAACTGCTCATAGGTGGAGAAATTCGAATACTTCACTTTTATTTGAAGTGTATGCTGATGATGTTCAGAAAAATAATGAAAGCTCCACAACAAAAACATCCAATTGAGAGAATGAAACTCCACCACAAACATTTTCAGAGTAGTTGAGAGAATTTTTTAAGAGTCCTTTTGTATGAGCAGGCAGTCGCTGAACCAAAATGAAATAACTTTCGTTGGGTGGTCTTTCAAAGTATGAATATCGTTATATGGAATATGTATGTGGTAAGCTTTGCTGTAGATTGTTTACTCTATTAAGTTTGAGGGCATTCTGTGTTTCCTGAGACGTGTGCTGACCTTTCCTTTTCTAGATAGCCTCAAACGCTGCTCCTCACACTCCCTCAGCACACAGGGTATCCTCCTTGTAAACGCAAAATAACCAAATGCTGATGTTGCAGTATCTCTCCATTTTCAGTACCCATTTGTTCTCATATTCGACTGGTAGCGTTTTACATTTTGGAAACATACTTTTATGTGACACTGCATTTTTGAAGCCATTGAGTGGGCGCCATGAGGACGAGATTGTTCCTAACAAATGGGCTTCACTATAAAGTATTTCGGTCCGCATTTTAGTTTCTCTTCTGACTGACACTGATATACAAAGACGTTTTTGTCTTGTGCCACAACGGCTATCTGATGAAGCATAACCTGTTTGTCTCTCATGTGACCTTAAGACAGTCGTACAAATGTGTTTTGGTAATTAAATCAGGTCCATAAGAAACTGTTTTGTTAACACTGATCTTCGATACTTAGTTTAACAATTCTCGACTTGTTAGGCTGTCGTAAATGAAAAAGTGAGTAATAGAGATACCGAATTCAGTCAGTAGTGTGATCACACTGTATCATTTTTGAGTAGCCATATTTCATATCGATTTTTCGAAAAAGGATTTAGGATAACCCTTAGAACCCGAACTTCATTGGTTAACAGACGTGTTCATAGTCATTCGACTCAAATGTTTACAAAATAACTGGAGGACTGGAACACCAGTCAAACAATTTATGATCGCTCATGACAAACGTGAAAGACAGTGATTAGTGAATAATCTGTTTATTGTCATAAGAGGTAAAGGACAGTCGATCTGGTGGTGGGCGTTTAACAATGCGATCACTTGATTCTTTCATTCATCACGCCATGAAATTGAGGCTCTCTCCAGTAAAATCTACTGTTTATATTATCCTATTTCATCTATTTTCAATACATCATCTCCTTTTTCGAAGATGTAAACCTTCATCTCAGTTCGGTTAATAACTTATTCTTCACAATCCTCTGTGAGAAAAATGCAAGCAACTTGGCTGCTATTTGCTATCACCTACAGTATCCAATGTAAGAAATACAGAGAATGGTATCAAGAAATATGTATGGACCTTGTGGTCAGAAATAGCCTATCCATTTTTTAAAGTAAGGCGGATATTAGTAATGAGCTCACTTTAGAAACCTTTAAACTGTAAAGTCATCCACCTGGAACATGTTGCAAGCTACAGATATGACCTAAGTTATTCCCATATGCAGATGTTTCACGTTGAAAAAGACTTTGGAGCCTTATCCAAAGGTGAGCCCCGAAATCGGTTCGACAGACAAAATTCAAACCCTTTGAAGCACGCGTAAAATTATTAGATCTCCATCTACCATAATGTGGGTGTCTCAGAGGTGACCTTCTAATGACTTGCAACATCTTAAATACTCCTGAACAATCCTTAGAACACTAGCTTAAGCTGCTCAGAAAAATCTCAGCGAAAATCCTTATAAACTAGAAACATAACTTAGAACAATGGTCTATAGACATTACATACACTCTTCAGGAGTAGTAGTAGACCAGAAGTTTCTATCGGTTGAGACAGTTCAAGGAAGGCAGTTGCCAGGATTCCTTCAAGAGGAAATTTGTCATGTTTGTAGGGACTCAGGAAAATATTACACCAGAGTTCACTATTTTCGTTTTCGTAGTTTGATGTACCTTGGTCTTTATCTGCTGTCATCGGTGACTCACTGTTATTAATTAAATACGGAAACTCTTTAACGGAAGCTTTCTCTGCTCCGTCTCAAACTGGAGTGAGAGGAATGTGTGTTGGGCGAATCACTGGAATTTGATACAGGTTAAAAGGAGAGTCTGAGAAAAGTGTAGGGTCTCTATGAGGGATTCCGACCGTAATTCTTATTTGGCAGTGATAAACATATGCAGTATCAAGGTTCAAAACGATATGGGACACTTCCAGACGAAACTCGCTGTCAAAATACAGGCAAACCCAAAATATGTGTCTCAGTTTATGTCTAAAAGTAAACCTGAGTACCATGGTGTTTTTAACCTCAAAGGTCCGAATGGCGAACATCTCACTAACATAGATATGGCTAAGATCTTTAACACAAACTTCACTGATCAGTTAAACCGGGTAACTAAAAGTTCAGTCTACTCAACCTAGTACTCAAACCTAGTGACATCTGACAGTCTAGAGAATATCCAACTTACTTTTGACTTAGTACTAAGAAAGATTCAAATCCATGCCCCAAGATAATTCACAAGGATGTGACAATATTTGCTGTATAGTGTTGAAACAGCGTGCAGAAATCCTCAGTTCACCTGCGTGTCACCTGTTCGGACGTTCACTGGAATCACACCAACTTGAAGATAAATAGAACCAACCTCGTCTCTTTTCAATCTGTTAAGTAGGAGATCGAGAAAATGCAGCTTGTTACCGCTTAGTTTCGAAGGTATTACTATACTTTCGAGGATGTTAGATGAACTGGTGAACAAGCAAACAACGAGCCATATGGAAAAGGATGACATTCTCAATGAGGCCCAAGATGAATATAAGATCCAAACTGAGGTTTGGATTTAGGAATAACTGTTCAGGAAGTTTAGATGCAGGTCTTGCCCAGTTGAAATCCAAAAAGGTTGATTAAGTGTATAACGGTTCTATTATTAATCATAAATATAAATATACATCATTATCTAAATAATATTACTGCGCTATTCCTTCAATTATTCAAATAAATGATATTCTATCCCTCTTGTAACACATGGTGTTTCCAATTCTGGAAGAGTGCTCCAATTTCCAATCCAAATTGCACACTTTCAGTCAGTGTAAGCGCTCCAACCGCCAGAGGAACAAAATCAATATGACTGTCGCCAAAAATTAGCATCAGCTTAAACAATATAATTTAGTTCGGAAACAAACATAGAAACTCAGTAAAGGCACAAAAAATAGCAACTATGATAAAATGCAAATATTATCATCTCAAAATGGAATCGAACAGATCAACAAAATGTAGAACTGGAGGAATCAATAAGGATTATTAGATATGTACACATGGAGGGATTTTCACATACAGAGCATTCCAAAATGGATCTTACAATGAGTTCAGGAAATGCATGGCATGAGATGGCTGAACAAACTGCTACGACACAAAATCATCCGTTCATATGATATTCATTGACTTCACGAAAGCTTTCGAAATAGTACATCATGCACTACTAATTGTGAAGGTTGCGAGTAATGGGCTTCACTAGTTGACTTCCATCTCAGCTCAGCAACTATCTTGACAATACAAAGTTTTAAACGAAGATAAATAGACTACATGAGAGCTGGTAAGTTTCAACATTCGGGGTTTCACTTACGACCACCTTATGTCCACTTATTTTCCTAATATTTACCAATAGTTTGTTAGAGAAAATTGGTTCAGTGGATCTAGTCTTTGCAGAAAAATCAAAGATCTGGATGTCCGTGAGAAGCGGAGAGCATTCAACGGAGCTTCAAAATGACGTTACAACGATAGAAGAATAATCAATAGACAACGGAATGAAACTCAAACAGTCAAAATGTTATGTCATGAACATTCTGCATAACGTGGTAGAAACAACTTGTGTCCTCAATAGAAGTTCGCCGTCGAATGTTTCGGTCTAACAACGTTCGGTATACGCACCTTCAAAAACTAAATTGGGTTAGCAGTCAGGGTTAACGCAACTTGGTACAATCACCTCACAGTTGTTTTTAACTCTCTTCAATACATGCGCGCGCCCTTATCTTGAAGTTTACAATTTCGTCGCATGCCTTGTCCTTACAAGAGACACAAGTCTCCTGGATCAAATGGAAAGACGAGAGACTGAATGTCTGATAGGATTGAGGAATAAATCTTACGTAGATAGACTCCAAAATTAGTGATCATTCCCTCTGAGATATAGGAGTATCAGAGCTGATCTAATTTGGACGTACAACATGTTGAGTGAACCGAATAATCACAACTTGAGCATCTCGGCAGATCATCACCACCACGCTCCGTTTGGTAACCCTGGAATATCTGAACACAAGGAGCGGAAACTCAAGTTCTTGCACGCATTTCAATACTAACAGTAGTTGCAACTGTGAATGCTCCCTAATCCAAAGTGACTACAGCCACATCGGTTGGTAGCTTTAGGAAGAGACTTGATGAAAACCTACTCACAAATGAATTGTCTTCTCCCTTTTCGGCCCACTTTACCTGATTCATTTTCTCGAAACTTGCTGGTTGTTATCTCTGTTGCTTTTTTAGGTCATTAACCTAATCTGTCACGATCAGTTTCTATGTTTCCTCTTCCTTGCACAAACTTCTGTTCTCTCACACAATCTTAACTTAATTAATTATTTACCTAGTTCTGACATGTTCCTCTTCTAATTAGCAATAAAACTTTGCTTCTATTTTTATCAATATTGCATCTAACTAATTCACGGCCTAGCAATTTGGTTTCTTCTTGCACCTAGAATCCCTACTGCCTCTAGACAAACACATTTACTCAAATCACGGGACATTCAAATTCATAATGAACTACCAACTAACTAAAATTAGTGCAGTCGAGTTCCCAGACTACTGTTCACTATACATCAATAAATAATTGAAATCGTACCGAAAGAAAAAGAACCGAGCGCTAGGAAATCAACTGGTTTATCCTTGCTCGTGATAAACATATTAAATATTGGATTTTGAAGTAAGGCGGCTACATAAGAGGTCGCGTTACGCTTTGCTTCTTCGTCATGTCATCAGTTTTAAAAAGCAAAATTTTGAAACCGTTTCTAAGGTAAATATTTATACTTCTGCTAAAGCAATATCTATATTTTTCAAGTAGTATATTTTCTCCTTCAGAGACACTTTACAGGCTATATAACTTCTTGTTAGTAATACGATCAGCTGACATGTCTGCGAGTATCCACAGTTCATTTTTCACTTCCAGAACAATTACTGTTTACATTGAATATTGGGGCACTATTTTTTATCGATGTTTCGTCAGTTTGAAATAGTTCACTTGGAAATGATGGCTGTCTCATGATAGGCTTACACTTCTATCAATTTAGGCAGTATAACTTTAATTAAGCATATATCTGAATTTCTTTTGGCTACGTCTTTAGATCCTCGTTATATAGTTACTGAATTACGCGTCCAGTGGTCGACTACTCGTTTTAGCCTTGCCTGGTCTGTTTAATCTAGTAGAACATCATTGTAGCTTAACCCTTTGAATATTGTGTTTGTGGAACTTTTTCTATACGAAATCTCTGACGTAATATATGATGTCTTTCCAATTCTACAAAATCATATTTCTTGGAATGGCATTGTCATTTCCGTTTTAGAAAACATAATTGGTAGCACTGTTTCTTCCGCTAGACTCAAAATGTCAAGCTTTAAAAGTACAATCTCACACAAATCAGATAGTTTCCTTGTGAGTTTCGTTTCTATTCTGATAAGTAGCAAAACCATGAAAGTTCGAAGCTATACATTAATCAAATATGCTACATTTCAGAATAATATGAGGAATTAAGCAAATAAGAAATATAAATAAACAAATGTAATAATATGCTTAGGAGTAGAAGATTATAAAAAAGTAAGAAGAGGTTTTAAAATAGAATGTAATCTATGGATATCAAGTTCCAAGCATTTATGTTTGAAATTCAAAAAGGGCGAAGTATTATTATGTCTGGACTGGTGTAACTAATTTTAAACCATGTAACTTAATTTTCAAAAACATTCCTATTATCTCCTCGACCTCATCCTACGAGGGCCCCTGCACTCATTGATGTGGCTTTAATCAATATTTGGTGGCCTCCTATGCTAATAATACATCGTTATGTGGCTTCCTTATCCTTTACTCAGCCTGTTTTTGTACTAACTTATGTAGCGCGCTCAGTTATTTGGTGGATAAAAATGCGTAATACACACTGCAAACACCTTAGTCGATAAGTTTTTACACCCCTACCGGTCTGATTAACAATCCTTGCTTAATGTTCTTAATCCCGCATCCAAATTACTTACTTCAGTTCCGTTTTACACCGGTTTGACAATTACTTTTATCACGTACTAGAAGCTTATGTATGCTTTTTATTTTTAAAAATCATGTCGCCTAGTTGCGATGAATTTCTCTTTCTGGGATTTGTTTTTTCCAGCATTTTTTCGTAATACTAATGCTTAAAACTGCTAAAATTTCTTTTCTATCAAACATAAGTACGTATAAATATAGTCTTTGAAAAATTACTTCTCATCACCATATGATGGTTTTATACCTTTCAAATTGCTTGAATTGTTAATGAATAGAATCTTTGCATATTTACATCAAATCATTCTTTGTACAAACTGAACTTCTTTCTGCAGGGCACTTTTTTATACAGACTATTTTCTGGATAATTAATAATTTTAATTCAATCACCATTACTTGGAACGAATTTTCTCGATGAACACGTCTCGAATTTGGATAAAATATGTGACAAAAACTAACTGAATATGACAGAATATCATGCTAAAATAATAAATAAATGAGCTTTTTAAAATATCGCCAAATTTTAATCGATCGGTGACACCGAATTAATTTATAACCTTGTTGTCGTTGCTTTGTATTACGTAGAAATAAGATAAACAAAATAGGTAACAATGTTGTAGGCATTTAGAAGATTGCAAATTATATGGTTTATGACGGATTTTAAATCAATCCCTTTAGGCTCTTCCAAAAAATTCTCATTATTATTCAAGCATGTCACAAAATGCTTGCCGTTCTTTATATTTTTTTAGATAACATGTTGATGGGATGAATGTCTCATGTTGTAACTTATAATGTATAGATGCTTTCCATAAAAACTACTAAATTGGCATTAGTAAATATTTCTATACGTATTGATATTGTTCATGTAAGCACTCAAATGTCGATGTTCTCGTGAGTACTTCAGGATTTCAGACCTAGTTACACCGATTGAAATTTTTTGGTTTTAAATCCAAAACTACTAGCTAGTAATGAAGATATAATCCACTGTTCACCTTCATACTCGTTAAAACATTTTCTTTTTCGAAAAATATTTGTATAAAGGATTGTTGTTATCTGGAATATCATCATAAACCGGTTAATCTTAGCAATCTACTCAATTTCATTCTGATATTTCTCACACATTAACATTTCCGATACAAAACTGGCTGAAACATTCAAACTCAAAGGTTTTTTTTAGTCATATTGTCATCGAGATCGACCGTATCAAAAAATAATTGCAGCCTATATTTGATACTATAGATGTGTCCATTCTCTGTGTACTATTTTTCTCTTCGGTTTCAACAATTATTTTATATTCCTTGAATCATATTATCCGTTTTTGGTCAATTATTTTATGACCATTTTAATTCCTTACCATGTATCATGTATCCCGTTGGTTTCTTTCCTATATGAAGCATGTTTAACTTCAATCAATATACATTTGTTACAGCGCTTAGATTGGTGATAATAGTATTGCTCACACTTTATTTATAGCCACAATTTTCTTTCCTATTACGAATAGCTTTCCATGTGTTATGGTTACTGGTTTTCGATCATAGGTGTCTTCGAAGCATTGCTCGTATATCGTGGGACACCCGAGTGAGCAACACTGTTATTAGGAATCGGGTGCTAGGTAAGAATGGCAGATCAATAGACGCTGTAGTGACACTTCATCAGTTGAGGTGGTTGGGACATGTGTTGCGTATGCCTAACCACCGACTGCCTCGACGAGCTTTGTTTTGTAGTGTAGGAATAGGTTGGAAGAAAGTTAGGGGCGGCCAAACCAAAACATGGCAGAAATCCATGAAATCATTGACGAGTGGACTTAGCCATGTCGGTAATTGTCGACTACCTGGTTGGTGTCCGCGAGATGATAATAATCGGTGGTTAGATACCCTGAATGACATGGCTCAAAATCGTTTGCAATGGCGCCGGTGCATTTATTCTTTGTGTTCTCTCAATTGCTAATTTTCTGGATTCTGCAATACCTCTAGTTTCGACTTTCTAAACTTTTCTCACTAAATCATACTTGTTGAATAATATCTCATCCTAACCTCTCCGATTACTTCTAATACCTTTACTACCTCTTCTACTATTGAATTGACAATTACATCTTCGTACTTACGTACGAAGTTCTACGTTGCAACTGACTGACTGACTGACCATGTGTTATTAAATGAAAACTACATCTGAATGAGACAAATACTCTGAACCAATTTATTAAAGCATATTTCATCGAGTACTAATGTTTGAATTTTTCGAAAAAATGACCCAAAGTGCTAACAGAGACCTACTTAACTATGCAATTATTCCAATTGGTAGAGGGTATCAGTGACTGATTATTGGTATCATATGCCTAATTCACCAAATCCTAACTTGGTGTCTTAAATAATCATTCTCTCTCTTCAAGTCCTGCTGAAGTGTGTAAATTTATAAGCACACAAATAGCAAAAGGTCGAAAGTTAACGGTTCACAGTTTTAACAATTATCAATATTTTCGTATTTATATGTCACATTCGTGTGTAGTAAAAAAAAGTAGAGAAACTTCTTTTTTTCTTTTTTTTAAATCTAACTTTTGATGGTTGTCTTTATTTATTATTAACTTTTATCTATCACATTTCTATTTTCAGGTTTACAAAAAATCTTTCTTCAAATAAACTTCATATGAGTATATTAAAAGGTGTCTTAGAATTGGAAACATTAGAACTGGAAGAGAATGCTTTAATGGAGTTACTTGATTTACCAACATGGTTATTATTGCGTAAAGCATTTTGTACAAATGTTGTAGCAAAAGTAAGTTGACCATCAAAAAAATGAATGGCCATTATATAAGAGTTCATCATCATTATCTATATATATATTCTTTCTTTCTTTCTAGATACACTGGACAAAGTTAAAAACTCATCCTGTTCTGATTGTAAGCATTCATATTTATCTCTCATAATCTATATATTATTCATGTCGTCAATTAGAGTATTGATCATGTAAAGATTGAATTGCAAGCGCTTGATGAACCACGTCCAGCTTCACAATCACCTATAGCTAATTACAGGTTTGTTTGTTTTTTTGAATAGAAATTGAATAGAGACCAAATTTTTTTTGTTGATTCACTTCATAGAGGTGGATCTGGTAAATATGGATTTAGTGATAAAGTAATCGATGGTGTCACTATTCAAGTGAATTCCGTTTTTATTGAATTCTTTGCTCAAGCTTTTCAAGGTTCAGTTGAAGTATGTCGTTTTTTTTTTTTTAAAAAAAATTGATAATTGATAATTGATATTTTTTTTTATTATTAAATAATAGTTTTGTGCATGCTTACTTAAAAGTGTCAATTATATGTTTTAAAGTAGTAGTACTAGTGTGGTGTGAGCTACTTATAAGTAGTATATGACGTGAGTGTAAACGTAATGTCTGGCAGCATAATATGGGGGGAAGATCAAGAAAGGAAGAGTTAGAAAACAATGGAATTTGTATGAAACGCATGAACAGTGACATTGGATTGATGTTTTGCAACAGGAACAGTCCAGTTCGATATGATGAACTGATATTTTGCAAATTAATGATTTACGATATGGTTTTCCGATTTTACTGAGTAACTCTGTGATTTTCGTTAAATACAATCCAGTTGCCCCACCTGTGTTCTCGTTCACTACACTAGTAGTAGCATTATAAGTATACTCAAAATAATAAATACTTAGTATTTACAAGTAAATTAATATACAACAACATGATAGAGAACTGAATGTAATTTTAGTGTTGAAAAAACCATTCAACAAAAACACAACTACTACTGGTATTCTATTCGTGATATTGTAGAATGGTGTTTAATTGGTTAATGCAATTGACTTTAAGCTAACAAGCTGTATGTTCGAGCACAACCTACCGTTAGTTGAATTCGTTAATTATCAATACCCTAGTTCTCATATAATTGAATAATACGTGACTTGAAAACGCGCAGTAAATAAAATTTGTATCCGATAAATGAATTGAATCATATTAGGGGTGTTGGTAATCAAAATCGATTTCTGTTTGTAAATCCACTTTAATACTATGATCAGTGTATTTGTTTCTTCTATTCAGGATCAAACCATACAAGTACACACATCTTTTAATAGTTTTAATTACGTTCGAAGTGTTTACTCACTGATACAAACAAACAAACCTGTGTTAAGCTCACAAATTAGATTATAAATAAACATAGAGAATAGGACTCATAAAGAATTTAATGAATTCTCAGATTAAGAAGAATGCTATAATTTTGGAACTCAGAATCTAACAAAAGACGATTTCTGGATAATGTAAACTAATGTTTTTTTAACCATTTGGTACGATAATTATCTGAGCCCCAATCAAGTAGTGTACATTTAACAACTTAGCTCATATCAACTGTTAGTGACTTCTACGCATTGAAATCATCAATCAATCAACCATTGTTAGACCACCATTAGAAACTTGGAAGCACTGAACTGCCGTTTCGTCCTGGTATGCGACTCTTCAGCAGTGCGCATCCACGACTCCTGCTACTCTCAGGGATCAAAGCCAGCTCGAACGCCTAACCTATGGACCACTGAGGAGCCCTCATCGATCGGTGTTCATTTCTAACTTCACTCAATCGACCGTATGGCGCAACCTCATCCACTGTCTTCGGTGAACACTGCTTCACACCCGAATAGGGTTGAACTCCACTGGTCACGACTTCTCACAAAAAGTCGGAGAAGCTTCCTCACGTGATAATTTGCATTCTAGGGTTGTGGAGATAGTTGAGTTACTTTGAAATCGTAAATCGATCTGTGTCAGACCACCATTAGAAATCTGAAAGCATTGGTTACAGTGCTTGTCTTAACAAAAACTTTTTTTGCAAAATACTGACCCATGCTATTCAGTTTTGCTTTTCGTAATTTAAATCTCTTAACATTTCATTTTGTTAAAAGTTATTCTGTCCAATCAATGTCCAATGACAAATTGAGCTTCAATTTGAAGATCAATGCATTGACAATCTTTCAAATTCAAAATAAAGTATTATTTTGTTTGTGAATCTTTAAGAAATAACACATATATAGGCAAACAATATTGTATTCAGTTAGATTGTCATCACACTTTACTTTACGCTTACAATACATGAATATTTTTTTTTTATAGAAAAAAAATATTCAACTAATCAAGGGAATTTATCAGTCAATGATTGATCACGAGGAAAATAGTTTACATAAATAAATTCACATAAAAGTACAAGTTGGTAGTAGTAGTAGGAGTAGGAGGAGGAGTAGGAGTAGGAGGAGGAGGACTATAGGTGGTGTATTATTGATGATAAGAATAAAAGAAAATAACAAAGTTCAAGTTAACATTACAGATTGAAAGTTGATTAGATAGATGCATTACAAGTAGAATGAAACTCATCCATTTTAAAAGGAGATGCATTGAGGAAGAAACTGTGATTCATTTTTTATGAGATAGCTATAGTCAGTCGGTTGTAACGTAGAACTTCGTACGTAAGTACATCAGTTCATGTTGCCATACCACATCAGCACAGAGATGTAATTGTCAATTCAAATCCAATAGTAATAGAGGTAGTAAAGGTATTAGAAGTAATCGGAAAGGTTAGGATGAGAAGATATTATTCAACAAGTATAATTCAGTGAGAAAAGTTTAGAAAGTCAAAACTAGAGGTGTTGAAGAATCCAGAAGATTAGCATTTGAGAGAATACAAAGAATAAATGCACCGTCGCCATTGCGAACGATTTTGAGCCATGTCATTCAGGGTATCTAACCATCGATTATTATCATCTCGCGGACACCAACCAGGTAGTCGACAATTACCGACATGGCTCAGTCTACTCGTCAATGATTTCATGGATTTCTGCCATGTTTTGGTTTGGCCGCCCCTAACTATCTTCCAACCTATTCCTACACTACAAAACAAAGCTCGACGAGGCAGTCGGTGGTTGGGCATGGGTAACACATGTCCCAACCACCTCAAATGATGAAGTTTCATTACTTTATCTATTGATCTTCCATTCTTACCTAGCACCCGTTTCCTAATAACAGTGTTGCTCACTCGGGTGTCCCACGATATACGAGCAATGCTTCGAAGACACCTATGATCGAAAACCAGTAACCTACGAATATCTTCTACTCTCACTGGCCATGTTTCACAGCTATACGAATAGGAGAAAGAGAGAGAGAGAGACAGCACTAGCTACTGTTCTACGGTCACTGCTTTCAAATTCATCATTTGGAGTTGTACAGATAGTGAGATAATATTTCTATAAAATATTACATCTAGTATATTGGGAAATCAATCCACTGTAACCAACAGTGTATGTTTATTACTGTTAAGAATTCATCATCGTCATTCGTCTTACTACTACTACTGGTATTCCAGTTCCCTCCAGGGTATCTTAAATCTTCTATAGTGATGTTCGCATTAAAAACTTGAGCTTGGACACGGAAAGCTCGATTGGCTTTTCCCAACCTGCATCACCTATGGCGTAGGCGAGATATCCGTTTGCTAACTAAAGGACGAGTGTACTGTGCAGCAGTTCGCTCCGTCCTACTGTACGGATGCGAGACTTCGCCGTGCTTCCAGGTTTCTAATGGTGGTCTAACAATGATTGATTGATGATTTCAAATGTGTAAAGACTATTGTAATATTTCATACTTGTGATTAGTACTTCACAAATGAAATAAATGTTAACCGTTTAACGTATAAAGAAGTTAAAATCAAATGAAACATCTGTTTATTTATCAAATGTATATATACACCTAATCTTCAAACATGTCAACAAATCCATGAATTCATTGGCAACTGAATTGAGTCATGTTGACAGTTGTCGACTACTTGGTTGGGGCCCCCGCGGGATGATAGTAATCGACGGTTAGAGACCGTAAATGATATGGTTCAAAAGCGTTTGCAATGGTGCAAGTGCATTCATGCTTTGAGTTCTGTCAAATCCTCACCTTCAGAGTTCCTCATCACCTTTATCTTTCTCTTTTTAAGTTTATTTCACTAGATTTTACTTCTTGAATAATATCTTCGAACCGTAATCTCTCCGATTACTGCTAATACTACTTCTACTGTCTCTAATACTATGGGATTCTAAGTGACATTTGCATCTGTGTGCTGACGTGGCATGGCAACTTGAATGGATGTACGTACGTGCGTACGAAGTTCTGCATTGCTGTTGATATATATATGTGTATATGTTTTTCATTATTATTTTAATTGGTTTCTTTCAGTTATCTAGATTTTGTGTACTAAGTAAATCACCGAATTGGCGAAGTTGTTTATTAAATTTAAGCACTCTAACACTGCCACAATACGATTCAATATTGATATTCAAAGAAGTCTCTTGGGAATCTGCACGTATTGTAGCTGATGGTCTACTAACTGAACTACGTGGTACACCAGTTAAACTTATAACAAATCAATCACGTGTACGTTTAACAATGAAAAAACGATTATCTGGTAAGTTTAATAACTGATTCTCAATGATAGTGAATTATTTCGAGCTGGATTGTTTAATCTCAAAGATTTTATTGTCATTTTTATTGTCATCATTTACATATATCTCAATTGGAAGTGAGAATCTTGATTACTCTACACATGTTTTAATATTTCCATGTCTAATTTTGTTCTGATTTCCTGTTATGTTTTATTGACCTATGGATCATGTGTAACTGATTTATGTTTTCCGTTCGAAATGACATATTGAACAGATTTCACATTGTTTAAATTCACTAGTACAGGCTAAAAATAAGGTCATCTATCAAACTTTGTACAAACTTTTATTCATGAATGATTATAACAGAACAAGTTTGATTTGTTTAAAAGATTCAAACGAAATTATCCTCATAATAATTGGTTGTAATTATTAACCAATGAAATCGTGCAAAATGAAACAACAAGACCAAATATGGTACATATCGAAGTGGTTTTCTAATTATTTACTACAGTGGAGTATTTTTCCTTGATACTAAAAAGCTTGTAGTAATTAAGGCCTATGTTTTCAGTGTATACGGCTAGAATGAGTTCTTGTGTTTTAGAGTGTCCATCATATGATTTCTAAAATCTATCTATCTGTCTATCTAAAACATGGCAGAAATGCATGAAGTCACTGACAAAGTGGACTGAGTCATGTCGGTAGGTGTCGACTACCTGGTTGGGGTCCGCGAGATGGTAGTAATTAATGGTTAGAGACTTTGAATGACATAGCTCAAAGTCGTTTGCAATGGTGCAGGTGCATTCACTCTTTGTGTTCCCTCAAATTCTAACCTTCTGAATTCCTTATCACCTCTATCTTTCTTTTTCTAAAGTTATCTCACTGAAGTATACTTCTCGAATCATATGCTTGAACCCTAGTGTTCTCTGTTACCGGTAATAATTCTACTATCTCTACCACTATGGGATATGAACTGACAGTTGCGTCTCTGTGCTAATGCGGTATGGCAACCTGAACTTAAGTACTAACGTACGAAGTTCTACGTTGTAACTGACTGACTGACTGATTAGTACTTCCAAAGGAATAAAGAATAAACAAGATGTTATGTGGTCGTTAACGTTTTAATTCATATCTTCTCTTATCTCATGTTAACATGATGAGCCAAGGTAGGAGGTGTTGATGAATCTTGGACATTTTAGTCATATCGTTAACGATTGAATTATAAAAATTCCCATTATGCAAATTAGAAAAACACAGATATAAGTGAACAAAATTGTTTTCAATTAGATCGTTATCAGGCTTTATACTCTTCGACATACAAGTATATTTATGTGAAAATGTTAAACCAATCAAGGCAATTTGAGTCATTAATCACAATGAAATCCATCACTACATATAATAGGTAAAACTAAAGGATGACAGAATTGTCTGGAACATGTGTTATATAACATTAATTACACTGTATTCTTTGGCGTTCCAATTGTAGTATGCGAGCTATGTTTTGCGAAGTAGGAATAGGTTGGAAGAAACCTAGGGGCGGCAAGACCAAAACAATGCCACAAACCTATGAAGTCACTGACAAGTAGACTGAGTCATGTTGGTAGGTATAGACTAATTGGTTGGGGTCCGCGAGATGTTAGTAATCGATGGTTAGAGACCCTGAATGACATGGCAAAAAACTGTTTGCAATGGCGCAGGTGCATTCATTCTTTGTGTTGTGTCAAATCCTAAACTTCTTAATTCCTCATCACTTTATTTTTTTAAGTTTCTTTCACTAGATTCTGCTTCTTGAATAATATCTTTAAACCCTAATCTCTTCGATTACTGCTAATACTTTTGCTACCTCTACTACTATTGGATTTGAATTGACAATTACATCTCTATGCTAATGTGGTATGGCAACATGAACTGTTGTACGTACATACGTACGTACGAAGTTCTACGTTGCTACTGACTGATCTACTTTGTTGTTGTTGTAGTTGTTTCACTTCAACGTATTAAATCAATTTGATTTTCTATGCCTAATTATTTGAACATTTGTAACATTTAACTACCATAGAGTTGAATCAAACCATACTAGTTTGAATGACAGTCTCTAGTAAACTTTAATGTAGCTAGTGCATCGATAACTGACTAGCTTAATTTATAATTTATCGGTTTTAATGAATGTTTTCAATTAGAGTTATGGAGATTAGTGCTTTTACGCATTTGAAATCATCAATCAATCATTGTTAGACCACTATCAGAAACCTGGAAGCACTGGACGGCCGTTTCGTCCTGGTATGGGACTCATCAGTGGCAGTGCGCATCCACGACTCCTGCACTTCGCAGGATTCGAACCCGGGACCTTTGGTATTGTGTGCGAACGCCTAACGATTGGACCACTGACCCGGCCGGCATCCAACGGTGTTAATGTCTAACTCTGATTGATCTAGGGATTTCGCGCGACCTCACCCATTTGTCTTTGGTAGTTAATGCTTACACCCGACACGGTTGAAGTCCACTGGTTACGTCTTCTCACTGGAACTCCGAGAATTTCCTCACGAAGCTAGTCACTAGTGAGCACATTTACGATATTTTCAATTAGAGTTATGGAGATTAGTGTTTTTACGCATTTGAAATCATCAATGAATGTATTTCGAAGTAGTGAGTATGGTTTGCTTGAGTATGATATTTTACAATATCTTTCTTGAGAACATGCTTATTTCTGAATTCTTAAATATACTTCTGTGTTCCAACTTAACACCGACTTGTCACTAAATCAAAAAAGCAAACGGTGTAAGCCTTACTTATTTACGCCTGTTAACCCCAGTGGAGTATAGGCCGCTGACTAGCATTCTCCAGTCTACTCTGCCCTAGGTCTTCCTTGCTAGTTCTGTCCAATTGCTGTTCATTCTTCTCATATCGGTCTCCATTACTCACCGTAATGTGTTCCTTGGCCTTCCTCTATCCCACTGACCTTGGGGGTTCCAAGCGAGGGCTTGACTTGTGATGCAGTTAGGTGCTTTTCGCAGTGCGTGTCCTTTCCACCTCTAGCGCTTCTTCCTGATTGCCTCCTCCGCTGGAATCTGGTTTGTTCTCTCCCACAATAGGTTGTGTCTAGCCAACAGGTCTTAAGTATTTTGCGTAGATAACTATTAATAAATACTTGTATCTTGTGGATGATGGCACCTGTGGTTCTCCAAGTTTCCACTCCACACAGCCGAACTGTCTTGACGTTAAGTGTAAAATAATCGAATGGGAAAAAGAACATTTATTTACACTTATATTTCGATAGCTATAATCACTTATGTAATTAAAAGTGAAATCTTTAGATACAGCAGTAAGTGTATTGTGCAACAACAAGTAATTGGCCTAACTAGACAGGAAATCTTTAATATATATTGATAAGAACATGTATTTGCTCTTAGTCTCATTAACCTAGATTGTGGTTCTGTTGGGATTGACCTTGGCTAAGTATATAGTTTATTTAGGCGTCATAACGTTCACACATATTATATAACTTGCCAAATAACCTTGTCATATCGTTTGATCTGAACTCATAGCTTTTCTAGTTTGTTTGTCACCGGATAAAAGCGTTTTAAGGAAAGTTTCGGTAATTTTCCATCTTATGGATTTAAGTAGTTAACTTGTAACTATAATGTTGCTAATTAAAACATCGCTTCCTTTGATTTTTTTTTCTAATCTCGCCATACATTTCAGTATCCAAACACTCCTCACTGGTGGCATCATTTAGACGATACTCTTCTGCATACTGCTTATATGCCATCTTGTGAGTAATACCCATCACAAGTTGAGTTTGTATGTATATAATTCAAGGTCATGTGTACAACCGTAGAAATTATTTTTGTGTTGCATTCTTGTAAATAATAATACTGTCCTCTCATGTGATATATGTTTACTCTGAAAATGGACCATCCTTAATCAACCATATCCATCCATGTTCAATAGTACGATGTGACATATATATTATTTACGTGACTCACATTTTAAACAATCTTATCACACATTGAAATGTGAAAATATTTAATTTGTAAACAATGCAAGGTTAAATCAAAAAGGTTATGATTAACAGACAAAACAGAGTGTGTAACGTGTGCTTTTTTTTTTAAATATCCTTGTAAACACTAAACGAATTACGGTTGATCAACTATTAATGGCACCAATATATATATATATATATATATATATATATATATATATATATATATATATATATATATATATATATCGGACTTTTCCATATGCAATATCAATGGCGGAAATCTAAAATGATGCATTCATACCTGATTGCATACAATTTTGAACGATATTAATCATCACTGAAAATGATCTGATTTACCATAACTAAGAAGTTCACATTTCCTTATATGTTTCAAGTAAATAAGGAATAACTTCGTTAACTAACTGAAATCGTATATTGGTTTTTGTCACATCCTAACGTATTTCTATATTACTTAACGTAGATAGATTGAGAATGTAAAATGCATATTGCAACGGATTTCAGATTTGAGTTATACATTGTGATATACTTGCAGCAGTTGCGAGTTCACCTTACTCGGTAAACGGAACGAAGATCAATGGTTCAGCAACACGATAGGTTATTCTAATCCGATCGTTCCAGGGCCCAGTAACTAGAGGAAGAAGTCTTGATCAGACGTAGAGAAATGTATTCCACAAGCACCCAGAAAGTACGAAGTCCACAAGCACTCAACTCAAGCTTATTTATACAATGATAGAAACACCCTTGGTGAGAGCCACAAAATTGCGTACTAAAATAATCCATCAACCAATGACAGTCAAGGATTTCCCGAGTGGGAAATGCAAGTTGAAGGTCAAAATGAGCGTCTTTGGCTCGGAAACATAAAAAAAATCAAAATTTCACAATAAAAAAATTACAAAATGTAAACCTTTTCCAAGTGAATTCTGGGAATGTAACGTCCCCAACACATTGAAATGTTACTTAAGAATTGTAAGGTTTAGTAGATGAGCCACCCAGTATGTGTATACATCACTGGAATATGTAAACGATGACCTTGGCTAGACGAATAATCTATAACAATCCACCAACAATTGTATCTTATCTACGATGTAGAATTCAGACAGCATATGATCTATGCTGGATTGTCATATATGTCAGCAATAAAATTCAGTGTGATTGGTATACTGTTACGCCTGCACGTAAACACGTCGACTTGATACACTTGAACTATTACGAGTTTACCTAGTCGGAAAACGAGAGCGAGGATCCGGTGACAAGACATGCTACTCAACTCCGATTATTTCAACCCCCATATCGAATAAAAATAAGAAGACATGATAAGAAGTAGAATGTGTATTCTACAAGCATCCAGGAGGTATGAGGTCCGAATCCAGAAGAGAAACAAGATCCGGGACCGGGTCATGGTCCTTGTCATAAAATATTACAGATAATGCGTATTTATACATTTTGGTTGAATAGGAAACAGCATCGAATTCTGTAGCATTGACAGTTAAGACGACCGATAGGAAGTAACATTTGAAATGACATTGACGGTCCGGTTGACCAATAAGAGACAACATTGAAGTATTTGACTTTGACAGTTAAAACGACCATAATTTTGACCAATAGAAATCGACCAATAAGATTTGACCAATAATTCTCTTAGGATATTGGATGAATATCCTAACATCTACCGAATAAAGATGTAAGTGCTCAAAATGAAGTCATACTAGTAATACGCAATAGCCTAAACTGAAATAGATAAGATCTGCGTCCAAAGTTGAACATTTTTTTATTGCTGATTTACTGTAGCCTTCATCATTGTACATATATATAATCGAGCCAATCAATTCGCAGGTTTTTTGTAGCCTCTACACAATACTGCTAAGCCACTTAAAGCTCAGAAATCCCAGGATTTTTTTCTTCTCGGTTGAGAATCTACATTATAATACTACTAAATCATATACGAAAATATATCATAGCATAGACTTATTTTCCAGTTAAATATATGTCAACTAATCATTAATATTATTATTATCAAACGTTAGTGTTATCAGTTACATGGATTTTGATCGTTTTTGTCTATTTCTGTGGTGGTGTTTCGTTCTCTGAGCTGGTTGTTTTGGTTGTGGAGCTTTCATTGTTCTTCTGTTGAACAACATCATCAGCACAAACTTCTGAAATTTATCAAACGTTAGTGTTATCAGTTACATGGATTTTGATCGTTTTTTTCTATTTCTGTTTGTGTAAATAAGTAATGAAACTTTGTTCGTGAATTAGTGACACTCGATAACATTGCCTGTGATTATTTCATTCATCTTATTACATAACTTTGTTGTTATGTAGATTAAATTAAATATATTTTTTAACGTTTAACTAAAAAGAAACGTATTTTGATAGACATTAAAATCATAAATGAATCATTGTTAGACCACTATTAGAAACCTGGAAGCACTGGACGGTCGTTATGTCCTGGTATGAGACTAATCAGCAGTGCACATCCACAACTCCCGCCACTAACAGAATTTGAACATAGGGCCTTCGGTCTTGTGTTTGGACGCGTAACCTCTAAACTACTGAGCCGGTCAGCATCCAACGGTGTTAATGTCTAATTCTGATAAATCCAAGGGTTTTGCGCAACCTCACTCATTGTCTTTGGTAGTTACTGCCTACTCCCTACAGGGTTGAACTCCACTGGTCACGTCTTTTCACTAAAACTCCAAGCATTTTTCACGAAGCGAGTCACTAGTGAGCACATTTTTTATCGAGATCATTATTTTACAATGGAATCATGAATGAATCATTGACTAGTGGAGTTCAACTCCGTCAGGTGTAGACATTAACTACTGAAGACATTAGGTGAGGTTGAGCAAAACTTGAGATTAATTAGAGTTAGACATTAACACTGTCGGATGCCGGCTCAGTGGTTCAGAGGTTAAGCATTCATGAGCAAGACCGAAGGTCCTAGGTTCGATTCCTGCTAAACGCAAGAGTCGCAGATGCACACTGCTGACGAGTCCCATGCCAAGACGAAACGGCTGTCCAATGCTCTCAGGTATCTAATGATGGTCTAACAATAATTCATTCATGATTCTTATTTAAAACAACCATCTACATAGTGGTATAATGAAAATATTTTGATATGTTTTGCATAAACTTTAAGTATTTATGTCATAGTTTTTTTTCTTTCTTACTCGTCTTATCTCACTCACATAGATGGATCATTAATTAGTTCACGTATTCATCTTATACTGGATGATTTACTATGGATATTCACATTATCACAAGTTGAAGCAGCTATTGTATTTGCACGTTCTTTAGAACATTCAATACGTTTAGCCAATGAACAGAGTAAACGATTCGCTGCAGAGAAAGCAAAAGTGAGTAGATTTAAAAATTCATCACTTAGATTTTACGGTTGGTAATATTTTTACTGACTATAATTTTGATGTCATTTTAGCATGAATAAACAAACATCTTATGAGGATCGCCTCGATATAGCTATAATGACTGGAGTTTACATAAAATAGTAGTGTTGTAGTGCAGAATGTGCGTTTGTCCTACTGTTGGGGACGTTAGATCGCCAGAACTCGCTTGATAAATGCCTTATTTTGGATTTCACGTTTGCGAGCATGGGCTGATCAGTTGAACTTGAGATTTCATTTCCCACCAGGAAAATCCATGGCTGCGATTGGTTGCTGTGTATCTTGGTGTACTATTTTTGTCACTGTCCCAAGGACGTTTCTATAATGTATAAATAAACGACATTTGTGTGCTTGATTGTATTGTGATTGCTGGGTGTTTGTAGAATATACTTTCTACGCTATATCAAGACTTCTCTTTAGCCGTTTCAGATCAGGGTAGCCTACCTGGACGCTGGTTCATTGTCTCGTTCGCGTTAATTGACTAAGGTGAACTCGTAATAGTTTCAAGTATGCCTAGTGATGAACCTAACACCTACGTGAGACTTGTCAGTCGAATGAACTTGCATTCCAGAGTTGATGTTCACTATGCAACTCGAACCCAGTACCGTTTACTTCAAACAATGGGTGTTGTGTCATTCAACAAATGTACAGTAACACAGTATATATAGCTCAACTATGCAAGATGTTCCAGGAATGAATTATTGATCGACTTATATAATCCTTTCCATAGTCGACCTGGGTACTATTTGGAGATGCTAACATGTTCTGCACCTTAACAGTTAGCCTACAATATTTTCTATGAATTGAATGTTGATGAAGAGGTATCTTCTTTAGCTGTACAGACATGCTTCCATATTCTTGTTCTAATTTCAGATTTTTATCAAAGATTATAAGTAGATAACTTATTATTCACAATTATCTATTATAATTTATCAGATTTGATGTTAACCTTTGTTCTTTCAGTGGAGAATCAAATGTAATCATTCTAATTAATTAATTAATCGATATTACAGATCACAACTAAATTGTTTTTTTTTTAATGATAAAAATATATATGTTTGTCAAATAACAGTATGTTACAAGGGGCATGCCAGTTTACAGACTAGATCAAATTGTTACCAATCCTACCACATTTACTGTAAAAGTTAGCGCACTTAGCCTACAAGTAAACAGTCTGTTTCCGGTAACACATTTACACCATGTCACTGACAGGAACAGTTTAATATAGCCACGTTTTCCTTAAGTGAAAGAAATAAGGAAGGTAACCAGTGGAGTTCTTCGGTGGTGTGGATTTGTTGGGAAGTGTCATTTGGGCGGCGCTTGATTCAGGCTGTGACCTAAACGTGCGCGTACAGAAGGTGAATTTTGCGTGCAGGCACCATGGATGTACAGCTTAGGATAGGGTTCTGAGAAGGGATAAAAGAGAAACAACCCAAGGAACAATCGCTTTAGGCCGGTCGCTCACGACCTTTTTATTGGAAGTTAACTTGTTATTTCCGCTCTTCAATAGGCCTTACCACCGGAGATGGAAATCCGTGAGGTAAGGTGAGGTGTGCCAATTCTAGGGTTGACCTCTTTCGACCCCTTCCTTCCTTGTTAGGAGGCAGGATCGCTACAGATGCTGATTGTCCGAGGGAAACGCCTTACTGCTGTCACACCTTTCTACAGTTAGCAGTACGACTTCGTCCTGAAACTCTGAGTTGTTGCTTTTAGTCCTACTGTGGTGCGCGCTACTTATAAGTAGTATATGACGCGAGTGTAAACGTAATGTCTGGCAGCAGAAGATGGGGGAAGATCAAGAAAGGAAGAGTGGGAACACAATGGAATTTGTATGAAACGCATGAATAGTGAAATGTCAGACAATCGATTGATGATTGATTGAAGAGTTGCAAATTAACGATTTACGATATGGTTTTCCTATTTTACTGATTAACTCTGTAATTTTCGTTAAATACAATTCGGTTGCCCTCACCTGTGTTCTCCTTCACTACACTACCATCCTCTAATCGACCTGTGTGACTGGCATAGTAGGACCTAACCAATATTGCTCGGTTGGGTCATCACGATATGCAAACCCGATCATCACATCAAGGTGGCAGCTACGGTAAAAACAATTGTCTCAAACAGTACTGCTAANNTACG